TTTGCCAGTGGGCTATTTGAGGTACATAAGGTGTGTGAATTCTGACTTAACTTAGGTAAAATTGATGACACAATAGACAGACTGTCGAGGTGGCAACGTCTTAGTCGAGAAGTGCCCTGATATAAAGTGAGATAGTGAGGCAGCCATACAGGAATTAAATTGTTCAGAACTTTGTGGAAAAAAATAAGATCATTCAAGTCAAACTTTTGAGACAAAGGGAGAATGTCGACAAGCTTGCACTTTTTGACATATTGCTCAGGTGGATAACTGCGGCCCTCTTCAGACAGAATCCATTTAATAGCTCTCTTTTGGAGACTTTCTAATTTATCACTAAGTGATTTATTACAAGGGCGCCAGATTATGGAACAATTTTCGAATTGGCTACGAACCAGGGAGAGGTAAAGCGCCCGGCGACGTTTCTGATCAATGACAATATGGCCATCTCTTCTGACCATACCAAGTTTTTGGCAGGCCTTAGTATAAATTCTGTCGCACTGACTATTCCAACTGAGCTTAGGAGTAACATCGACTCCAAGATCTTTTTCTAACTCTACATACACAAGAGGAGAGCCATCAAGATTATATGCGAATGGAGGAGATAAAGATGGTTTTCCTGAAACAATAAGCACTTTACATTTTGCTGGATGGAATCGCATTTTGTTTCTAAGTGCCCAGTCAGAGAGATAGTCTATATCCATTTGTAAATTGGTATTATCAGAAGATGAATGTATTTTACGCCAGATTTTTGTATCATCGGCATACAAAACAATATCAGTATTATCCGAAAGGCCAAGAGGAATATCATTGATAAACAATACAAAAAGTAAGGGACCAAGGATAGAGCCCTGGGGGACACCAGAATTAACTGAGAGGGTAGATGACATCTCATTACCAATAACCACTCTTTGGTAACGGCCTTGAAGGTAATTGGTAAGAAATTTGAGAAGTGTACCATCAATGTTATATAAGGTCTTTAGCTTATGAAGAAGGATATCATGATTTACAGAATCAAATGCCTTAGCAAAATCAAAATACACAACATGATTGATAATGTTTTCGTTAAGAGACAATGCCAGGCTATCACAAAAATCAACCATATTGGTTGTGCATGACTTGTGCTCTAGAAAACCATGCTGCCTGGGATCAAGAAGGGTACTTGTCAAAGAAAGCAGTTTACGTTTAACAATGCGCTCAAAAACTTTCATGACTAAACAAGTAAGGGATATTGGTCTATAGTTTTCAACCTCACTTTTCTTACCTTTCTTAAATATTGGGACAACATTTGCAAGTTTCCATTCTTGTGGAATGTAGCCGCTGTTGTAGGATCCACGAAAAATGCATGTTAGAGGGTAAGCTAAACCTACGGAACAATTTTTTAGAATTTTACCGTGTATGCCATCTGGTCCCTGGGCTTTATTTGAATTAATATTTGAAAGAAGCTTACGAACATCCCGATGATCGAAGTCAATATCAAAATCAACATCATTGACATAGGAGATGTCAGTGTCATAAAGTGAAGGATCCGAAAACTGGTTATAAAAGAAAGAATTGAAAAGTTCAGCTTGATCTTTGGGATTGAACCGAAGCTGTCCAGAATAACTAACACAATTAGGAATACGGCAGGAGTTAGATTTATACTTAACATGTGACCAAAACTTCTTAGTTATAAGCGCTGGATCATCACTATTAAAAAGATTATCTCTTATTTTGGCTGATGAGAGCCTCTTAAAATCTTTACGGCTAGTAACAAACTTTAACTCATCAGAAATAGAACCAGAAATTTTAAATTTAGCTCTGAGTCTATCTTTTTTACGGCATGAAGAAAAAAGTTCACTATCGAACCACGGGGGTTGGAACTCTGATTTAATAATTACTTTAGGAATATGTATATCAACTAAATTCATAATGCAGTCTTTAACTAACTTCCAAGACGAATCAGGATCAAGGCATTCTAGGACTTGCCAATTAATCGAGCATAATTCACGATTAATCATGTCCCAGTTTGCTTTCTTAAAATTATAGATTTTACGTTTAGGAGTTTTCTTACGGGAAAAGGAGCTTTTAATTGAAAAAGTGACAGGAAAATGATCAGATTTGCACACGGAATGAGGATCACAGACATTCAAGTTATCGATTGTGTTATCATAATTACTGAGAAGAATGTCTAATGTATTACCACTTTTATGGGTGGGTGATGTGATCAACTGGGAGAGAGAAAGATCACTGAAAGAATCTATGAAGGATTGCTCAATAGGTACAGTACTGGATGAAGATAGCCAGTCTGTATGGGGGAGATTAAAATCACCAATAACATAGATTTTAGGGGGATTCTTTTTGGAAACTAGCTTGCGAATATAACTAACTATGACATCATGATTAGGTAACCCAAGAGTTCCTACTCTATAACAAGTACAGATTACAATACTCTCTTTGTTAGGAAAAGAAATTTTAACGGCAAGCATTTCTGCACCTAGGCTAACTGGTAGTCGGGTTGTAGTGGCGTCGAGATCAGACCGAACAGCCAAAAGAACACCACCTCCATTTTCCCTAAACTTTTTAGGGTTATTAGGATCTTGAGGATGAGTCTTTCTCGTGCGGTCATTGCGGAAGATTTCATATTGAGAAGAAGGAAAGATTTCGTTGCTAGAAATAGATTTTTTGAGCCAAGTCTCATTTAGGGCAATTATGTCAGGCTGCTCTATGTTAGCAAAGGATTGAAGTTCGGAAATCTTATTACCATCAAGAAGGGGATGGGAGGAGCTTAGGTTACTGAAAGGAATGAGACCTTGGACATTTTGGTAGAGTACAGATAGGGAGTTGGGACCTGGATTAAGCATAGAAGGATTAACAAGAGTTATCAAAAGAAAGTTAAGAGAGAAAACCCAAAGAATGAATAAAGAGACTAGACGCCTGAGGCGGCTGGAATACTTGACTCTATTCATCTTACCAGGGAGAAGAACATTTCTTATAAACCATGAGGAGATAATTACAAAGAAAAGTTTGATGTGGGAGCAAGCAAGAAATGGTATAAGATAACGTGGGCTGTCAAGGAGTAGAGAGGAATGAATATTAGAATCTAGGGGGAATACGGTGTTCATGGACCTAACCGTGGAGAGAAGAATTGGGAGAAAGTAAGTCATGATGAGAGAATAGAAGAGAAACATATGATTATGATAATTGTAGTTGATGTGTGGGGTGTATGGAGACTTAAATGTGTAAATTTTGTTAGGTATAAACGTGTTGATATGTATAAGTGCATTTCTTGACTGTGTACGAGGCCTTTTGCATGCAAAAAGACCTATTCTAAGTCTAAACGATTCATTGTCTAACATATTGGAAAATGGACAGTGACCGAATGTACCTGAAATGGGAGGCATAAAATTGAGAAAAAGATTAAATCAGAGATTTGTTTGAGTTTTAATTTTAGGCGCAACGTCTTAATCAAAATATTAAATGGAAGAAAAGATCAAAGATTTAAATTCCCAGAAGATTATTTACAACCCTGTCAAAACTGTGTTCGTTTACAACAAACTTAAGCCAAGTGGACAGTAAACCTACTCCTCTCATGTTGAGATGAAGCCAATCATGGTATAGAAGTTCATTACATGATCTAAAGTCTCGAGTTAAAAAGACTGAGAAACAGTCTAAGAACACGCAATTATTATTTAGGCATAAGTCTTTAAGTAGATTATTAAAATCTAGAACATTCTTTGCTATGTAGGAATATAAACATTTAATAGGAAGACAACATTGGATAATTATAATTGCAGCGGGAAATAACTGCTTAGTGGTGTCAATTAATTCAGTGAGATACTTCCTAAGGAACTGAACCCCATACTTAGAATGTTTAATGTCATTTGTACCAACACTCAATATAATTTTTTCAATATCGTCAGCTTCTGCAGCTGCATGAGTTTTATGAAAATTATGAATGTTTTCAGTGATGTCTCTAATTTTTGCACCACTTTGAGACACATTGATTACTTTCCTTCCCCGGAATCCCAACTTATTTGTCCGTACGAATTTTGTCATTGACGTACCAAACAGGACAGTGGTTTTCCTGCTCTTCGGTTTTCTTGGAGTATTTCGGTAGTAAAGGGTTGGTGTTGAGGTGGTGGTGGGCGGCATAGGAATTGTAGTGCGGGCAATCTGCTCCTTGACTACATTTGTATCTGTCTTCGGTATCTGGCAGCGAAAAGATAAGCTATACCGAGTCCCCTTAACTGAGCTCTCTGCACGAACCTTGTGAAGACAATATTCCTGACACCCCGGTTTCATAATATACAAACTACAGTCCTTTGGGGTGATATAGCATTTACTGTTACATCGCTTATCCCCATTTTCTGGAATTATGTCGATGGTCCTCTCAGCTCCAAATGAAACTACATAAATACCTTGCGACTGGTCAAGAGACACCTCGTCGTCGTTGTGGTACCTAGTTGCACAAGAACCAGACTTGTACATGCTTGCTAGGCATGAGTTTAGCTTGCAGCCAAACTTGGAGTTGATATCATGCATAAGCTCTGATATCCCAGGATAATTTAAAATATCGATTGGCTCCTTAGTCGTGGTGTGTCCATTTGAGGAAGACCATACATATTCTTCTCCAGTCGAAGTGAGCCACTTTGTGGCAGTTTTCACAGCAGTTTGCTTGGCCATAAGTGTTTCAAGTTCAGACATCAACGTGCCATGTTGAACACTCTTGTTCTGAACAAAATCTGAATGCAACTCCAAGAAGTCCTCGCATTTAACAGAATTTCTCTTAAGTTTCATGACATTCTCAACACTGGCCTTGAGAGCTTTCAGCTCATTTAATGAAAACGAGTTTAAAACATTGGTAACAGAATTCAGATCCATAGTGATGTGAGGAAGAGGGAGGAGAAAATGGCGGTGAGGGAGGAGAAAATGGCGAAGTCAATACTGTAGCCCAGGAAGTAGATGCGTTGCTTAGGATACAAACGGTCACGTCATAGTCTCTTCTATCGCTTTGACATTGGGACCTCAATAAATGTATTTAATTGTAGTTGTGAAAATAGTTTAAAACTGTGTGATACAATTATTATTTTGACGGTTTCTTATCTTCTCTTCCGCGATTTAGTTTTCCTGTCCCAACCTGAACCCTCTCAAGCAGCTTCTAACATAACTATACTATCGTTTGCTCGGGAGTCCAAGTCTCAAATACTGTATAATATTGAACCAAAACAGTTTTGATTTTTTTGGTAAAATAATTTACTGCTTATGTTCAAGATATTTTGTAAAAACATCAGTTTTCGATTGATAATTGTTTTAACCTTTAGTAGCTGAAAATGGCTTGTCTCCATGATGTCTACTACAAAATATGCAATATTTATAAATTATAGTTAGCTATTTTGCAATCCGCTATCGCCAATATGATTATAACTCTGCCTTCATTGAAAGAATGTGATTTATCTCATTCGGAAAACAGTAACTGATAAAATTATTACCACTTTATTCAGTTATAATTAACAATATGCTAACTAATAACTATCCTATATCCCATATCCTATATATGTGTTATATTATGTTAAATAACACACTTGAAATTTAGACAGAAAACACGTAATCACGATGCTTGTTGTCATTAATCACCTGGTTGTGGTCTGTAGTAATCAGATGCTGTGTCATGGGTTTCGAACTTTATCTTTGCCACGTCTCTGTTCCAGATAGTGCTCCAACTACCGCCACTACACGTTGATACCTTACAAGACATTTTTATAACGTACGAAATGCGACGGTTTTCCCGAAATTTCGCCATATTTTCGGACCGCCAAAATTTCGGTCGTCGTAATAGAATACGTCGCATTATTTTTAGCTTATTCCAATAATTGTGGCTTCATCGATTCATTTTGTTCTTGAAAAGTTAGTGATATGATGGTGGGACAAATAAACACAATATTCCATGATGAATTTAATGTCAAGTAATACGTTTTAAATTTACAATAAATTACATTTATGTGCTAACATAAACGTCTTATAAGAGACTAAGTCAAGATAAACAATTTAATACCAAACTCAATAAGTGAAACTGAAAGAGTCGAGCCGGACCCCTTAGAGGAAGATGAAGAAATCGATTTATAAGTTTCATTTTGTTTCAACATGATTTTACCGATTTTTAGAAAAGTTTGAATTTCCTTTAGCTTTGTGTCAGAAAACAAAATGATGAAAAATACCCTTATTTTCTGTGACGTCCGAAATGTGACGGTTTTTGTTCAATTTCGCCATATTTTCGGACCGCCAAAATTTCGGTCGTCGCAAATAGGTCCGCCACAAAAATGTCTTGTAAGGTATTGCTGTGCTGTAAAAATTGACTTTATTTATTTATTTATTTTATTTATTTACAATAACTTATGCTCCTGTAAATACTTTAATTAATTGTTTGTTCCGTTATTCTTTTTCCTTCCTCTTTTCCTTGTCATCCCCTTTAGTTTTAAGATTCTTGCTATAAATGGCTACAGCTAACACTATTAATGCTAAGTACCAAACAACAAGTGGGAGGTGGATCGTTGGTATACCGTTAAATCGATTTAACACCGCAATTCCAGTCGCAAGCCTGGGACCACTACTAGCATTGTCACAACATCTACAAAGCTGCCATTTAGCCTGACTGACAATTTTCTCGACTGACTGACAATGTTTCTTCTTTTCCCCATTTAGAATACAAAGATTAGTACATTTTAGCTTATGATTAATATTATATTTTTACCTATAGTTTACCTAGATTAGAACAATTTTATCTCAGATAACGATGTTTAATAAATGATGCAAAGAATTTCGAAGATCTAATCAACACCGACTTTTAATGTGTAGGAGTACAGCAACGAAATATATATATATGTATCTCTCTCATGTATTAAAAAATTTATCCAACAACAAAAAACTTACGCAATTCTTTTTTTTTCAAATTTATTGTAAGTAACTCAGTCAAACATATTATTGTAAAATAGAAAGAGAACTTACAATTCAAAAGGTTTTTAATTTACATTTAACTCTGGTCACTTCCCGCTAATTGATCTTATATCAATGTATATTGCATGTTTATGAATTCATTCTAAAGAGTTGAAACTTATCACAAATTGAACGACTCCTTCTAGAAGCACTTCTTGTGGACCCAAAAAGAACCTCCTTCATTGTACTCTGCATTCGTTACCCACATCTGTAAAATACAAAAAAGGATTTAGCAAGGGAAATAGAGGCACGGATTTTCTGCCCACACTACGCCATGTGGCGACGGGCCACATGGCGTGGGTCAAAAGGCGCAGTGTGTTTAGAGCTCCCACCACTAGTCACCGGATTCACACAACGAGGCGTGTAGTGTGTTTAAAGCTCCCGCCAGTTGGCGTTGAAACTCTTGGGGAATAGAGGCACGGATTTTTAAAATCCGTGCGTCTATTCCCCTTGCTAAATCCACGCCAAGTGGCACAGTGTGTTTAGATAGACGGGCCACATGGCGGGAGCTCTAAACACACTGTGCCTTTTGACCCACGCCATGTGGCCCGTCGCCACATGACGTAGTGTGGGCAGACCCTAACGTTACTGTAATGTTTCAAATTATATTTTAAATGTTCAAAAATGTCACATAATTACCCAGTCAATTTTGTTAACGAGATACACAAAATGCTTAATAACTTCGTCATTTCAAATCCGTTTCACATAATTTGTTTCAGATCAGATGCAACATTTAATAATCTACAGTTTCTGAAAAAATTAAGCGTCTAGCATGTTCAGAGAGAACAATATAGATGTTTAAATATTGAATGGGTGTGGTTTAAAATATTCGAATTTTCAAATTTTGGCGACGGAATCCTCGAACAAGTAGGTACAGTATGCCATCTGCAAAGCAACAACTCTCAAATATAAAACACAGCGGAGGTATAATTAGACCCAACATATGGGTACTGACTTTTGGCCCACCCTGTAGTTATTACATGAGTATCGCATGGGTAGGTATCGCATGGGTAAGTTACATCTTACTATAACCAACTCATCATAAGACCCATAGATATTTTGTTTGCAGATCATGCCAACGATTGGAAGATAATATTTAATGAGGATGAGAGACAGAGAAACTTCCCGCGGCACATTGCAGCTACGCTACTAAGACCTGATGTAGTGATCTACCTTAGGGCCAATAAATTTAGTTCACAATAAATTTGGTTACCATAATTTTGATTACCATAATTTTAGTCCCAAATTTCGCAAATTTTTAGGCTACAACAATTTTAGTCACATTTTTTGACTTTTCGAGACCATTTTCCATTCCATTTACTTTAAGAACGACAAATTTAGTCCACCCCGTCTGAGCATTACAGATTAAGCTGCAATGCATTACTCAGGAATTTCAATAACATCAGATCCAGAGTTTAAGTCTCTGTATCACTAAGATCTTCAGTAAACTGTTCAGTTTCTTTTTCACCTTTTTTCGACTTTACCATTTTTCTCGGAACGACGTAGTTTATGTCGATATGATCCTTCAGCCGTTTCAACAGAGCATGCATTGGGATGTATCGATAAAAAATGTAATGTCCAAGAGGAGCTCTAACCCTTTAAGTGCAATAGGACTTTGGTACGGTTTTGTGCAGTAGGATTAGGAACGGTGATGTCATATATTAATTATTAACAATGTTAGCTTAATAATATTCTTTTATTCAAATTTCTGATTGTTTCTGAATAGACTCAGTGAAGACAAATTCTAATGGAAATAAATAGCTGAATAACGTATCGACATTTCTATCGACATTTACAACGCTGCAAATCGGAGCAAATATTTCCAGTATTCATTCAAAACAGTGTCAGAGCTTTGAAACAGTCATTTCCTCTAAATTTCTCAGCCTTTCAACAAAAAACACTATTCGAACTCAGGAAATCATGTTTAAACCAACACATTCAGTTCAAATACGTACTCATCGAACAACTAAAGAAGGACTCACTCCAACTGAAGAACTTTTTACGTGATTCTACACCTGAACATTTTGCTTTCATTTCGCAGCTTTATTTTCACAACAATAATCAAACTAAACAAAACTCTAAGACAAGACTATGTAACAAATTTAGCTGGTTAGTATACAAATACTACCTCCCCTGTTGGAAAAACAGAGAAAAATTCAATCAGAACTTCTCTTATATCCACTTGTACCACCACATCAAGAAACAGGACCAACTACCACCCCCTCTACATACCATTTTCGATCATCGTCCTACTCTACGTTCATCCTCCTCTACCTCCCCTCCTCGCCCGCTTCATCAACACTCCAATTCCAATCCTACTTCCCCTACTCATCCCCCTCCACTCGCTACCCCGAGAGAAAAGGTCACGTTCGTCAACATTCCAGAGAACATGATCAATGATGACACTGTAAGCCTACTCAGCCTCGGTCCAGGGTATGCCCTAACCCCACGACTGGACAAGAAAGGAAAGGAGGCCTTACTCACTACGGTACAGGAGAATATTGCTGCAATGGCCATTAATGTGCGTTGGAAAGAGTTATTCGCTAACACCTACTCAACTAAGACGCTTAAACAACATTTGAAGAACATTGCACCATTCGAGCAAACTTACACTCGTGCTCCACCTCTAGCAGACACTACCGTCGAGAACAAATTGGGTGCACTTCGACGAGATCTGATCAATATCACCAAGACAGCTCAAGTCACACCCAATCTCACTCCAAAACAACGAACTGCCCTCAGAAACCTGAAGAAAAATGAAGACCTTCAAATTTCCGTCGCTGACAAAACAGCAGAGTTTGTAGTAATGCCTAAAGAAGATCATATCAGGACAACTACCTTACAAGACATTTTTGTGGCGGACCTATTTGCGACGACCGAAATTTTGGCGGTCCGAAAATATGGCGAAATTGAACAAAAACCGTCACATTTCGGACGTCACAGAAAATAAGGGTATTTTTCATCATTTTGTTTTCTGACACAAAGCTAAAGGAAATTCAAACTTTTCTAAAAATCGGTAAAATCATGTTGAAACAAAATGAAACTTATAAATCGATTTCTTCATCTTCCTCTAAGGGGTCCGGCTCGACTCTTTCAGTTTCACTTATTGAGTTTGGTATTAAATTGTTTATCTTGACTTAGTCTCTTATAAGACGTTTATGTTAGCACATAAATGTAATTTATTGTAAATTTAAAACGTATTACTTGACATTAAATTCATCATGGAATATTGTGTTTATTTGTCCCACCATCATATCACTAACTTTTCAAGAACAAAATGAATCGATGAAGCCACAATTATTGGAATAAGCTAAAAATAATGCGACGTATTCTATTACGACGACCGAAATTTTGGCGGTCCGAAAATATGGCGAAATTTCGGGAAAACCGTCGCATTTCGTACGTTATAAAAATGTCTTGTAAGGTACAACTCACCTCAACAATGGAAACGTCTACAAGAAGATCGACATACCACAGGATAAACTGGGCAAACAAAAGTACATAAACAAGTTAACTAAAACTCTAGAAGACGATGTTAACTCAACATTCAAGAACATTGCCAAGAGTCGTAATCTCCCTCAAGATGTTACTAACCTGTTAATGAGCCATCACACCACCCTCGCTACTGCAAGAGTGATGCTTAAAACACACAAGTACACAAGTGATGAGATCAAGACTCTTAACCCTGACACAATGAAAACTAGACCTATTGTTTCAGGCTGCAACTCCCCTTTCCACAAAATCCGTTGGTTCGTCTGTCACATCCTATCTCCTCTGATGAATCTAGTACCTTCTCATTTGAAAAACACTCACGATTTTCTTCGAAGGATTAGAAACATCACACCAAATGATCTGAAGAGTCTTACTTTCTTTACAGCAGACGTCGAAGCTTTATACACCAATATCAACGTACTAACAGCAATAGAAGATGTCATGGAATTTGCCAAAGAAAATAGACAGTCAATCAGTACATACGGTCTCCATCTCTCTGATTTACAAGAACTACTAGAGACAACCCTAGGAAAGTCATATTTTGTCTACAACAATCAAGTCTACCTACAGCTTCTTGGATTGTTCATGGGAACCAACCCTGCACCTATACTAGCTACTGTCAAAATGTGGAAACTGGAAAAACTTTCAGTCTACGTAGACCTGAGGATAACACTGCCCACCTACAGCAGGTTTTACGACGATCTAAACGGAGCCACCACCAACAGACGAAAAGCTCAGCAACTGTGCAACCTCATCGAACAACAAGATCCTGACAAACTTATCAAACTAACTGTAGACTACCCTGACAATCAGAACGACTTTGTTCCCTTCCTCAACACGGAAATAAAGATCGACTCAGATTGAATAGTACATTCTAGACTCTACAGAAAACCACAGAAAAAGCCACTCACCCTCCACTACAACTCTCATCATACAACACGTACAAAGAATGCTACTGTTGAGAGTATGTACAACACCGCAGAGGCAGTCTCTAACAACAGAGAAAACGAGAAGTACTCAGAAAAGATGATAGATAAACTTCTCATCAAAAACGGCTACACTGATAGAGTCTTAGAAACCATAAAGAACAAGAGAAAACGTAGAAAGAGAATTAATCAGAACGTACAGAACAAAGACCAAGACGGAGCGATTCTCAAACTACCCTATGTCAACGAAGCTACTAGTCGCAAATACAGAGATGCTGTCAGACATAGTGGACTCCCCATCAAAATTGTCGAGAAACCTGGACGGAAACAGAAGGATCTCCTTACAGACTCCAGACCCCTTGACAAGAAATCCTGTACAACATCAAACTGCAGAACATGCGCAGCTTTAACCGATGGAGAATGCACCACAACTAATACCGTCTACCACATCACTTGCGAAGTAGACAATTGTACCGAGAACTATGGTGGGGAAACATACAGACCGATCAAGTGCAGGTTCGACGAGCATTACCGTAGTGCGGCAAATCCAACAGCAAAATCTTACGAAGATAAGCCACTAGCAAAGCACTACAGGGAAAGTCACCCTCAGCACAAAGGCCCCCCAAAGCTTAAACTTCAAATCGTAGATAGAGGAACATCACTCATCAACAGAAAGATTAAAGAAGCCCGATTTTTAGTTGAAAATAAACCAACACTCAACGATAAAACAGAGTTGAACAATCTAACACAGTTTTTAGTTGAGTGACGTGTAAATAGTAATACTCTCGTT